CCAATGAGGTAGCCCCTGACTTACAACCATTTGGTGACTGATCAAAGTTATGACCACGCATCGCAGCATTCCCACAGTCACATCATCAACATTCAGGGACCAGCATGTATTTATGATGGTTGCGGTCTCCCATTTGGGTTGTGTGATTGCTCTTTGCAATCTTCCCAGCTGGATTCTGACAAGAAGGGTCAGTGGAGAAGACGGGTTCACATAACGACAGACATGATTCGCTTAATAACTGCAGTGATTCACTTGGAAACCACGGCAAAAAGGGTAATAAAAATGGTGGCTCATTTAACAACTGCCCTGCGGAACAAAAGAAATTCTGGTTCCAATTGTGGTTGTAAGTCAAGGACTACCTATATGTCATGCCCCTGTCAGAGTCTGAATCCGAGGAGGGATTCAGGGAATGGGAGTGTGGCTCCTTTGGCTGTGGAGGAAACTGGGGAAGGGCAAAGTCCGTCTGGGCAGAGCAGGGGAGAGTAGAATAAGGGAGAGTTCAGAGGAAGACCCAGGCCCACCCCCTCTTCATCCAGGGGCACGCAGGGAGGAACGAAGAAGAGAGCAACGTGGGTTGCGTGACTTACGGGGGAGGAAAGGGCCCTGATTCCCTTCATTAGCCACACCTGGGAAGGAAGTTTAAAAGAGATACATGCTGAGTGCAGTGTTGAGAACAAACATGAGTTAATCCTGTGTTGACTTTGGTTATCTGTGTTCCTGGCATCTTTCCAACTGTGTGAGCTTTGCCCTACCTTCACATCTGGAATTCTTGCTCCTACCCTGCCGGACGAATTACCTCATTTTGCCTTGATTGGCCTTTAAGTTCCAGTTTTTGTTGGCCACGTTTTGGACTTGATTCTCTGCAGCCAAAGGCTGTTCCTGGGAGAGTTTTTCTCCAGCCAGAAGGTAACCAGGACATTGGGGGCAAAGTTGGAGCTAATAAAGGGACTCCTACTGATTATCTGACTGTGTTGCCTTTGTGCCACGCCTCTTTGGGTCATCACACTATTCATATGCACACGTGATAGCACTTGGCTATTTCTAAACTTTTAAAAAAACCTTTGCATTCCTGAGCCTACACAGACCTCTCCTCCTTGAAATCGAGAATTGAGGCTATGAATTTGAAACGAAACCTATCGGGTCTTGGACCTCGGGGACTAATCGACTTCCTTGCCCCCCCCCCAATCAGAAGGGCCCCCGCTCTGTTAATTTGCATCCCCACCCTGCCTCTTTCTTTTAGAGACTCGGTAAAGATACCTCTCTTTTCTCAGGCTTTTAATAGTTAATTATTTTTATTATTCATGTTTTAATTTACTTGTTTTATCGTTGGGGACGTGGCGTGGTGAGTGCATGTGTGTGCCGGGCTTTGCTGATTTAAATTGCCGCTTGCCTAGAAGGTTCATTTCGAGCCAGAACCAAACACGATAATTCTACGGATGTATAGATCCAGTAAATCATACATAATCAAGTAAATAATTAAAATCTGGAGGCCTTGTTTAATCGGCTGCATGTCTGTGTGATCAAAAGCATTAAGGAAAAGGATCAAAGGTGCCTGAGGAATGACTCTGGCCAAGCTTCTTCCTGGGTCGAAGCCCGCCAAGCCCAGAACCAGCCACTTCCGTCCACTTGGGTTACGTAGCTCAACCCATAGCTGGAGAGCTGTCACATCCACAAATTAAATATTAGGGAGGGAGTTTAAAGTTCAACCTCCTCTCTCTCTTCCCCCTGCCTCCAAATATTTTTCTGCTCTGTGCTTTGTTTGTTCTGCTTGAGCGCCTTGCTGACGAGGTCTAATAGCCAAATGCCACACCGGGTCTGGCTGGAGTTTCCCACATATTAAACATTCTGAACTTGTCCTTTTGCTCAGAGGTGGTGCATAATTAATAATTAAACAGCTTCTGTTGTAATGGGTTGACCTCCTTGAACTGTTCATTATTCACAAGGTAGAGGCAATCACTCAAAACACTCCCACCACCATCAATGCCACCCCGGATCAGCGTTCAGAGGAGTCGCGGTGAGTGAGAACCGAGGTTCCCTCCGTCGTCGGCTTCTCGGGAGGCCTGCGTCGACCTTGGATGGAGAGTCGTGTTAGGAGGATCTGCCGTGGGGCTGATTCGAATCCTCCTTTGTACATCCACCACAAGGTGTTGGAAATGTCTGGTTCAGATCTTGCCAAGAGCCAAAAACTCCTGCTAGGCCTTCAGCTAGACGTCTTGTCTCTCTTCAGGAGGGTTTCTGAGAAGACGAAGAAGGGAGGAGACAGAGAGACCAGCCCTGGCCAGGATTCTTCAACGAGAGCAGTCAGGAGCTCCTGGGCCTCGTTCGGATTCTTGAGAGCTCATGAGGAGTCTGTCACAAAATGGCTGCCATGAAGGGAGGGAGGTTGCCATTTGCAAAATGGCTGCTGACCAAGAAAACAAGACCCACATGCACGTAGGAAAAATGGATTAAGACCAGCTTCTCCAAATTGCTTCTGCATAGCTCAACCGATGCAAGTGTTCAGTTCAGAGGCCTGGTTGGAAAAAAGAATCTACGGGCCTCTTATGGGGAAGGAGATCCTAACAGAAGAAAAGTACTGGAGTTCAGGGTTGAATTGTGGATTCCTTGGTGCTCTCTCAGCTTGGTTGCTTGCTTGCAGATGTTTCATCACCCAACTAGGTACAAATAGTCCGAGGCTGGAACTCCCATCATTAAGCAATGCAATCAAGTGAGCCATGTGACCCAGGGCCCATTTGGCCAGCCTTTTAATCACAGTTTTTAAGGGAATCCGGCTCCCTGCATTTGCTCCTTGGAAGCCAACTGGGAAATGGTGATCACATGACCCCAGGATGTGGCAACCATCATAAATGCATACTGTGTCAACTCATAAAATATTTCTATGGTCTTTTTAGAGTTGCCAACAGAAAGTGAGGGGGAGCAGTATGGCAGCTTGGAAATCGAAAGTGCATTCCACAAATGTTTTCAAAGATAGTAACTAGGTGACTGGAGTTTCTGCCGTGCAAAATTCTAAATGGAGAGCATGATTGATGACTCTTGGCTATGGATGTGTCCCATTGGAGAATATGAATTACGATACACCCAGGGGGTGGGGGAAAACCAGGGTCAAGGGTGACAATGAATGATGTGTCTCATCTGAAAACCCCTCAAATGTGCCATATTAGCAGGCCTACCTGTTAGGACTGTTCTAAAGAATATTGTGGAAGGCTCCAACCTTGGCAACTTTAAGACTTGTGGACTTCTACTCCCAGAATTCCAGAGCCAGCATAGCTTATGGGCGTTTGCCTTTCACCGTAGCTGCCCGAGGAATTCTGGGAGTTGAAGTCATCAAAGGGCCAAGCGTTCCCCGTCCCTGATGCAATGGGAGCCCCAACCCAACGGCTTCCGAGGGCGAGTCTTTCTCACAGCGTCCTTGCAGGGCCTTCACTCAAGGCGAGGGTTTATTTATTTAATTTTTTTAGCTTCTCTCCATTTGCCCAGCTTTGTGCAACCCACAAAACGTGTGTCAAAGGCAACACTCCGAATCTTGTCGCCTTGTACTCTTCAGTTACTTTTGATTTAATTGTGTTTTGCTGCAATTTCTGTTTGTTTGAATTGGAGACAAAGCCTTAATAAGAGTTCTAGTTAATTTTCTATCTTGTAATTACCACTCTCATTTTTCTGATAATTGGGCCGTCGCAATTATATGTATATTTACTAATCACTTCAGCAGCTCGGTGGTTGCTTCTTGCCGACGCCATTGAGAGTGACATGCACACACATGTGTTGTTGGCGGAGGAGCTTGGAGCCTCCTCCTCCTCCTCCTCCTCCTCTCCTTTTTAAACTTACCCCCCCCCCTTTCTCCCCATCGCATCCAAGCCATTTCCCTCGCAACCCTCCCTAATGAACCCCTCACATGCATTTGACACAGTTGTGTGCGAGAGAAATTGTTTGGCTCCCGCCAAATGTTACACGCTCTGAGTTTCTTGCCTGCAGCATTAGAAGGTTGTATGTGATGATAGATGGCTCTCGCAAACGGCCAAAAGAGGCAAAGCACGGCGAGATTAAAATAAGTCATTCCTTTGTTAATTTAAATAGGTGCATGCATCATACTTTGCAGAACACTTGGGGAAAGAGACGGGTAAGGTGGCGGTGGCAAAAGCTGCCGAAAGATATTTTTAATAGCAAATGAGAATAGATGAGAAGCTAAGTCATTTGCAGATGATTCCTCTTGGATGCGGCTCTCTTGTTCCAACTGTAGGACTAATGAGATGGCTGTTAAAGTCCTCCACAGTGCCATTTCATTACATCCTGAGCTGTTAGACTATAAACACTGGCAAAAGTCTCTGTCGTTCTGGGCTGGGAGGGGGCCACCGCCGAGCCTCCCCCATGTGTGCATCTCCCCTTCACGGAGAACCAGCCCTTCCCCCTTTGAAATAATGCGGGGACCCCCTTTCCCCCCCCCTCTCGTTTGCTGAATGTATATCTGTGGCTTCTCTTTTTGTTGGATGGTTGGTTAATTAGCTCAGCTCTCTGGTTTTGTTTTTGTTTTTTTGTTTTTAGTTCTTTATACACTCCTGGCTTCTTCTGCTTAAATCTAACAAGATTTGGGATTGCTAAGTGTAAATAAATAGCAACTATGATGGAGGAAGCAAAGGTCAACACAAGAATAATTTCCCAGCTCTTTGTTAATTACAAGACCATTTGGGTGTTACTTAAATAATCATTAATTTCTCATTTACACTTTCGCTACCTTCTTGCCTGCCCCGTGGCTATCATTGTCCGTTTCCGACTTCCTCTTGGTTGGATTTCTACATGTGTTTTCCCCACTGCGTAACGCTCATTACTTTTAAATGCAGGGTTTCCTTTTTGATTTGATTTTGTCTTTTTTTTTTTTTAAACGTCTCCGTTTGTTTGCCGTCAAATTGACAATTTGGACTCAACGCTTCTCTCCTTCTTTTTCTTCCCTCCCTCCCTCCCCTGCCCTCTTCCCCCCTTACCCCGTGGCCCAAACGGGCTTGTAGGAATCTCCTGTCCTTCCGGTTGGGGAGTTCTCGGAGCCGTTCGTACACTTCATCACTCAATGGTAAGCTTCGTTTGCAAATGTGCCGTGCCCTCGATGTAAATGATACATGCCATTAACTCACTGTATCACAGGACCTTATGGCTTCCTCTTGAATCCGTCCAGGGCTCCAGGGACCTGCCAGGGCTGGGCCAGCAAAGCTGAGCAAACTGTTTAAATTATGTAAACGTTATTTACACAAAGGGTCATAAAAGTACTTCGGAGGTGGACTTTATTGCCCCACCCACCCACCCACCCATAAACAACTGGGAATCTCGGTGCATTGTGAGAGAACCGGTGCCGTGCGTTTCTATAGGCACACGGGCATGTGTTCAAAACCTCTTGGATGAAGGTGATAGATAATCGTATTTACCCCTCTATTATTCCAGCATTTCTCTTCTGGCTTAGCGAAATAAACTCCGCTTTTGAAGGGCGCCTAAACTGCAGCCCCGATTAATTTGCGGGCTTTTCATTTGGAAGAAATTTTATTGGGGGGGGATCTGTCTTTGGGAGGTGTTCTGATGGGGGTGCATCTTTTAAACCACACTGTAGGGCATGTTTTCATTCTTCCAGTCCAGGCGGACTACCTAACGGTCAGCCAGAAGGACTCCTTAAATTAAAAAGCAACATTAAAAGGAAGCGGATGTAGTTTAAAGTCCAAATCTCCTGCGCACCGAAAGGTTAACTTACCATAGCAAAGATGCATTCATGGCCTCTTTTATGGGGAAAGCTTATAAACAAGTATTTGAAGGCTAAAAGAACAAGCAACTTATGGCCTAAGCATGTTGGATGAGAGCTAGAATTACTTTTTTTCTTCTCAAACAAAATAGCATGATTTAATAGAGGAACGGAAAACCAAAACAAAATCCACACACCAAGGCCTACACTTACTAAAACATAATAACAGCAACCCTGTAATGTACAGGGAAAGACAGCGGTCATACCAGTAAAGTTGCACCACTTTAAAAAACTGAAGGTCTCCTCTATTCTCTTTTGTGGAAGGGGTAGGAGAGGGAAGCTTTTAAAGCTATTGCCTGAAACCAGTAAAATAAAATTACTCTCAGCACCACACAGAATTGGTCCAGCCACTTGCGGTACTAATAGGAATATATCTCTGTTGAAAAATACCGATGCTGACAATCAAAATGGATGACCTACACACACACACACACACATACTTTCCTTTGTTCTAATTTTCCTTTCCTTTGCAAGTAAAGTTTTTGACTGATGTCAATAGAATTAACTTCGAATGAGGTAACCAAGTGGGAGAAGCATTGGAATAATGCTGATGACAGAGGCCTCTCCTGGAATAGTCCAAAGGGAGGTCTGTTCTTTTTTTTTTTTTTTTTGAAAGAGAGAGAGAAGGAATTAACAGTGTGACTATTGTTAATTGAAATAATAAATACAAAGCTTATGTTTATTATAAGGCCGATCCACTTTGGGGTAGATTAGATTTCTGTAGTAAAGCTAGAAAGCCTGGGTGATCTATCTTGCTGTACCTTCCCACTCCTACCTAGAGATTAATCAGAAAGCATATTGTTTTTATATTTTTTTAATTGAGGCAGGAAGAGGGCTAACCTCTGCAGATACGTCCACAGATGTCAGGTGGAGGCATAAATGATGGCGCATAATAGCCTCCTTCTCCCAGAAGACCCAGCTACTTCGGAATGTCAGATTAAGCGTGTTGCCAAGGTGGCTTAGAACAGCTTGCAAAGAATGCAGCCCCTGGTTGGCTTTGCCGACAAGGGAAGCGACGAGGGAGCTGGCGCTGCAGACGGGAAGTTGGGAAGGGAATGGGCACGACGGAAGAGGAATTCTGGGAGCTTCATGTAATTCTACGGAGATTCTCCATCATCCACGTTTGTCCCAAATGTGTTTTTTCAAGAAGCACTGGGTTGTCTTTGTTTTTTTTCTTAATCCGACTGAAGAACCGAAGAAGCTTCTTGGATGGAGAAGCAAAACGTCTTCAAGGAAAAACAAAGGAAGTCCAGTTGCCTCTTGAAAAAGCCCCTTTGGGACCCCACATACTTCGCCATCTGGTAGCCTGGCCAGGTTATTTGCCCTTCAAAAACAATACTGTGCTTTGGGAATTGAGAGGTACGAACCAAATAGATAGATAGATAGATAGATAGATAGATAGATAGATAGATAGATAGATAGATAGATAGATAGATAGATAGATAGATAGATAGATAGATAGATATAGATATAGAGATAGAGATAGAGATAGATATAGATATAGATATAGATATAGATATAGATAGATAGATATAGATATATATAGATATATAGATATAGATATAGATATAGATCCTGATTTCTTCCACTTTCTTTCTCTCCTGTCCTCTTGCACGGGGAGAAATAGGCCAGTTGTAGGATTGCTGAATTAACCACTGCGAATCATTTGAAAGATCAAAGTAATAAGGGCCTGTTTTAGAAAGTGATGGGATTCCCAAGGAGA